TGCTGAATATTATTAAAAAAAGAACTGAATCTGAAACTGGTCAAGAATAAAGCATACTCTAATGATCTATACAATGAAGAAACAAATATTCTAATAAAGGAAGTTTTAATGTTTCCTATAATTAAATGGAAAAATCTTATTTTATTCAAAATTATTACTATTATCAAATAGCATAAAATGACTTTAGATAATTCAATAAGACAGTTTATTAAAAACATAAATAGCAAAGTTACAGCTTATCAATAAATAAAACAAAACAGAATTTTGAATAAATAGAATTAATAGATTTGTGATTATATGACTATACATAGGATTTGATATAGAAAAGAATAAAGAATAGATATACTTGAAATACCTCCTTTAAAGATTCTCAAGAAAGAAGTTTCTTTATCAAATTAATTAATAAAAAGTTACCAATGTTTTATAAACTGACTATAAGAAGACCAGATCTAGATAAACAAGTAAAGTGTATAGCACATGAATAGCAAGCCTAAACAATAGAACACCTACTAGAATGCTTAGTATATAAAGCCCAATAGTGGGATATTTGGAACAAAAAAGTTGAAGACATTCTAAAAGGCTTTCAAAAACTCTGTATAAGAGAAGAAACGATATAGAAAAGAAAGAAATAAGGCTTTTAGTTGAAAACAGAATAGAATTAGAAGAATTGAACAAATATATAGTCAGGTTTATAGAAGAGACTGTAAAAACAGGTCAGAATATACTAAACTTTTGCATGGGACTAATATGAAATAATCAAATATTGAAAATGTCAAACCTAAAATATTGCCAGAAAAGAATAAGTAAAGAAGTCTAAAAGTGAATAATGAAGATGCAGAAGAAGGATTGCAATCAATTCTGAAAGAATATCTGAAACAAAAGATGGCCAAGAATAATTGAGTAGGAATAAGTACAAGGGATCTATAAAAAAGATAAAATAAGAAGATTAGCCAATCTATTAAATCAGAATAACAAGACCACAACTATGAAAAGGTTCTTATAGGAAGAAGAAAAACTTGAAGATGAAGGTTTGAAACAAGCCTTTTTAGAAGGAGTAAAGTATAGAATAAGATGGTTAGGATTTTAATTTCTGTCAGAACTTATAAGAAGAATTTGCAGTAGTGATCTATAGACAATGAAATTAGTAGTTGGAAGGGGTTTCACCTGAGCTATTAATGAAACAATAAATTACTTCTGAAGTTGTACTTAGAATAATAATAACTAAGATAAGTAAATGAATTAGAGATTTAGTTTTAATGATTTATTATATATATATAGTATACTAATATTTAATAAAGCATATATAATTAGTCTGACAGAGAGTTAAAAAGAAAAAAAAAATATTATTATTAAAATTTTATTTTATTAAAATAGATTATATTATTATGCAAGATATTGACTACTTGAGTTAAATTTTATTTATTGTTGAATTTTGCTTGTAATTATCAACTTGAAATTAATTTTGAATAAATATAGACTTAAAGTTGTAAAAGATTAATTTATTAATATTATATATCCTAGATATGACATCAACATTATTATACTTCTTTTTAGTTCTATATTTAATAATAAAGTTATAAAATTTCAAGTTGAATATTTATTTATCTTGCATATTATATTTTAAGTTCTATTGTTTTTATTCATTAGAGAGTATAGTAATTAATAATTAAGAAAAAGGATTAAGTTTCTAGATATTAATGGAAGTATTCAATAGTTCAGATGACTACAAAATATTTTAATTTAGTGATAAAATATCAATCCTCTGATCACATACAAAAAAGACATTCACAAGAAGTTTTAATACTTCTATGCTAATAAAGCCTTACCACTTTCTTTAAACCAACTCAAAGGTTTCCTTCAGAACTCTCCTACCCTTCCTCCTTTCTTGTTTATAATCTCCTTCACACAAACTGGACTCACGTGGCTTGCAAAGTTCAGCTCTCACCTTTACTACCTATGGCAAGAAAGTTTCTAAAGGAAAAAGGCACAATGCTGAAGTACTTCTTACCTCTCAGTTATGATGGAGATAACATAGGTCTGTGACCAGTTATAAGACTCACTCTTCTCCCCTTTAACCAGCGTTCTGGCCTCTTAGAGCTACCTTTTTCATGGCTTTTTGGAGAATTTTGCCTACCTCAGCTTGACCCTGAAATTTTGGGTAGCATGGATCTCACCAACTCTGATTGGCTGACATGAAACATGTTGAACAAGATTGATAAACAAGCTCCTAGTGGCTACCTCATGTATCTGAATATATTTCCTCAGCTCCATAAGAACCTGGGATTCACCATAAGTCATATACCTTGGTGCAGGTGGATACAGGATATGCTCTCTCTTACATCAGTGAAAATTTAAATGAAAGAGTCCATCCAATCATGGTAAAGGTTACAAGACACTTCAATTGTTTTTGGCATTGAAGTCACCTACGCTTAATAGCCAAGTAAGTTTTAGTAGCTCAGACAGATAGGTAAAGATCTATTTTTGTTTTTAAATAAAAACAAACAAGGTGAACAGAAACTTTTTTCCCGGCTGGTAGGTTTTTTACTTTTGATTCATGGTTTGTGGGAGGACCACAAACTGAAAAACCACATCAAAAACTTCAACACGACATCCTCTTAAGCACGGTCTCTTAAGGTCACTAGTGGTACCCATCAATCTTACTCCTAATGAGAGTACTCGAATGGAAACTTTTGTCAGATTAGTAGACCCCCTAAAGACTTAACCCGACTTCAGAAAATTTGCATCTTCTTAAATAAGCAGCATATGCTTGAAGCTGATATTATCTTTAGAATTAGATCGACAACCCCTCCAAAGATTTTAAGGTATCCTCCTAGCCATAGGTCTTGTCAGTGTTCTTTGAATAAGTAATCCCCTAGGTAGAGCATGGAGCTCTGAAACCATTTTCCACCCCTTTTACAAGTAAGACAACCACACTCTCTCTTTCTTTCAAAGATTAGGACACAGCACCCCAGTAGATAATTTGTAGGTATTGGTAGTTTCATAGTGGAAGCTTCAGTGGATAGTCGGTAGTAGAGAAAATTTAGGTTGTCGCCCGGCAACTTTTTGATGTTTTTTCATTTTTTTTTTTAGTTACCCTTCCTTGATAACAACTACAAGGAATATAGTCACTAACTCAGCCCCAGCAAGTTAGTTCCCTACATGGGAGGCAACAAACCATGAAGGTCCCTACAGGAGATCTGAATCGGGAGGAATCTTTGCATACATCTTTTAAACATACATACTAGTATTGTTTCTAAATTTGTAGTTAGCTCTAAAGTAGATAATACAAATGTAATATTACATTTAAAGTTAATAAAAGCCAACCGAAGGTTGAGCCAATCAAAAAAAAAAAAATTTGGTGATAAAATATTATGCTTGGTTTTATTGAGACTGTGACTAATATAGGTTATTGAATGTTTTTTTTTTTTATTCTTTTATATCAGAATAGTACCAATTCTAATTTCAGAGATATCAGTATGAATATAGAAGATCTTGGAAAAATCAGGGTATCTCAAGACAGGAGATAAGATTAAGAGACCCTTCAGAGTTTCAAATGCTTACTAGTGACCATCCATCTATTTAAAGGAAGTACTTTTTTTTAAAATTGTTCAAAGGATAGGCAATAGAGAAGTTTTTGATAAATTTTCTATAATAAGAGGCAAGTCCAAGAAATTCTTTCAATTATCTGATAGTAATAAGCCTAGATAATTCCTTGATCTTATTATTATTACTATAGATTAGATTCCCTTATGGTTAATCACATGATCAAGTAATTTTACTTGTATAGAAAAAAGTAGTATTTTTCAGAATTCAATATCAAAGAGACTTGCCTGAGAGCATCCAAAATAATGAAAACATATTGACAGTGAAATTTAAAGGTGATAAAGAAAATAGTGACATCATCAAGATAGACTTCAACAAATTTGTTACAGTATGAAGTCAGTACTTTTTCTATTAGTCATTGCAAAAACCAAAGGGCATGACATTGAATTCATATAGATCATATTTTGTTGTGAATGCTGTTTTGTGCTTGTCCCTATCACTCATTACAACTTGCCAATATCCTAAAGATGTTTTTTAAATTGTTCTAAAAAAGCAATGGTTGTTGAGCTGTATTGTATAACAACGTGAGTACACAATCGGTTCCTAAACTGCGGTATGTATAATATCTCTGACATGGACCCCCTGATGAGGAGGATTCAAATTTGATGAAAAGATTCTTAATAATAGCAAGATGGTAAGTGAGCATGGTCTCTGGTTACCAGCTGACAGCGCTGTGCACAAACTGCTGGTGCTGGTAGTATAACATAATAACCGGATCAACTGGCCTTTGATTATGAGGGTGATGGCATCGGAAATCTACCGATGATGCAATAGAGGAAGGAATTGGGCGTGAATGGAGAAGCGTCAGTGAACTGACGTTATAACAAATATGATTATTTCTTTTCTGATGCAAATATATTTGGTGGCAAAATGACAACATTATAATTAATTTTATGATTTTAGTGCCTTGTGCATTCCTAAAAAAAAATCGTATATTCATTTCCCTTTTTCGAAATACATATCTAGAAAGAAACAAGCACGTACGCACGCATGCATGAAAACTTAATTGTTGACACAGTGTTACTTTGAATTTTTTTTTCGCCTTCTGTTGCTTATCAACAAAATTTAATTTTACATGCGTGTGCACGAATTTCTTTTTTTAAAGAATAAGTAGCAGGAATACATTAGTCCGAGAGTGAAATGATTTAAATGGGTCATGAAAAGTTGGTGGTCGGAGATGCCCTGTGATGGCGTATATGAGGTTTAAAGTTGATGAATGCTTTTATACGTATAAAGGGAAATGTCAACACCAGTTAAGTATATTCTATGATACTTAGGGTCGACGGGAATTTTTTTTTTACACGCTCATGTGAACTTTTGACACGTGACAATAAAAAAAAAGGTTCTGATTATCTCCCTTTTGCAGAAAATCCAATTGTCCACCCACCCAAACAACAATGTCTTTTAAATCGCTGCTTCGTAGAAATCTCTTGACAACAGCAACTCGCTCCTTGCCAACTGGGACACCATCACGTACATCAAGAAATGCTTCAACGGTGTCCACCAAAATTCAAGTACTTCAAAGCTCACTATTTCCAACGACGCCGACCTCGCGCACAAATGGGTTCGCGCAATTTTCCACCACTATCGGTAGACACAATAAAGAAGAGTCCACAGCTACGACTATTAATGATAATGTTGCTGGTGGTGATAAAGAAGAACCAACGAGCAAAGACGTCAAGGTGGAAGGAGGGAAGTCCGCCGAACCCGAGATCGATCCCAAGGACAAAGAAATAGCTTTACTCAAGGTAATTCATAATTTCACTATGACCAACAGGATGCGAAATTAATTATGCCGTACGCACATAGGATAAACATCTCCGCTGTTTGGCGGAGCTGGAGAATCAGCGTGAAATTGCTCGTCGCGAAATAGAGAACACCTCGATCTTCGCCATTCAAAAATTCGCCAAAGATCTACTCTCCACAGTCGACAATCTTGACATGGCCCTTGAGTCTGTTCCACATGAATTACATCATTCCCACTCATCGGACGAATCCCCGTCACTTCATGGCCTAATCAATTTGTACAAAGGTATTCAAATAACAAGTTCTGAATTGTTGCACACGTTAAAACGACACGGTGTGGAAAAGGTTGAGCCGAAGATAGGAGAAAGGTTCGACCCGAATATCCACGAAGCTCTATATCGGGCCAGTTTCAAGGACAAGGAGGTTGGCACCATATTTGATATACAAAAGATTGGGTACAGCCTAAATGGCAGGATCATCAGGCCACCTCAGGTTGGCGTTGTGTCAGATACGGAATAGTTTGTCTCTTTTGAAGTAGTTAATATTTATAGAGTGAAGTTAAGAGGAGGGAATGTAATAATGTCAGTCAGTCACCCCTATCCAAAATTTTCTAGAAAAAAAAAAAATAATGATAAAAATAATTTTATCATCCGAGAAGTGTATGAAAAGAAAAATTTTTTTTCTTTTTATTATACGACAGTAGTAATTGGTAATTAATAGTGAATTGAGTAGTGATTACTATTGGTATATTTACATCCGAATGCTATGAATGTTGTTGAGTGGTCAACGCTCTTTTACATATTTGCAAACACATGTCAACTGCATCTACCGAGACCTTGTAAAATGACTGACCATCATTAATAACCAAACGCATCTGACTCTTCATCCCTTTCTTTATTCCTATTCCTCGTGCAACAT